TTGATGGATAATTGCCAAGTATATAACATAATAAGAAAGTAGCTTATAAGAATGAAATTTTAGGCAAATATCAAAGCAGAGCCCGAGCCTTGCCCCTTTGTTCCGGATAGGGTTACAAAATACATATAATTAATGAACCAAGAAGCAGTGTTGAAGTTTTTTTCACCTTACAATTAACCAAAAACATCAAATAAAAAATAATTTTGAACATTTGGTTATCATGAATGCATGTTAGTCAAAAGTATCTGTAATCAACTCATGACAATAATAGCACTCACATAATGGCTACAGTCCTACTGAAATTACACAAAGTCTTTTTCTTATGGATAATCTGATCAGTATAGGCTGTATAGCAATAATTTCATAGGTTGGAGAATGGATAGGCATACTCACCAAATGAATGACATCAATGCTGACATCACTAGCTTCAACGCCTTCAATAGTTACGAGTAGAACATTTCCCGGAACATCTCCAGGACCCTTGTTGTTGACAATTTCATGCCTGTTTGAATACTGAATATACACAGCTTTGCCACGAATTTGTGCAGGGTCTGAAGATGAAGCATAGTAGGTGGCCATATTAATTGCCTGATTCAGATCAGCCTGCACAATAACATATGTCAGATACTCAGGTTGTAGATTTGTAGGATTCATGGAGCTCCAGGTTATGTTTTCTAAGCTCATCCAAACCCCTTTTCCACAGCCAAATAGTAAAAAGAAAGGATTAAAGATTTTTGAATCCTAGTATTTATAAGTGTATAACTGAGATCTCAAACAACTTAAATCCAACAAATGCATTATTATGCAATATAATCAGAATCCTGCCATGGACAGCCAATAATATATATATGTAATACTTCATAGTTCTTAAATAGCCGACCCTTAGAAAAATAGTGTTGTGTAATAAGTATTACTTTAGATTACCAAGAGAGAAATAATACTTAATTTTCTATTTTAACCTATGCCTAGCTTTTTTCCATCATTTCCAATGGAGCCAAAGACTCTCTCATACTTGTCAAGGCGGTAAGTCGAGTCGCGGTGCCAGCCGACCGCCATATCGGCAAGGCGATAAGGTGCCTGCCTAGGCGACAATTAGGCGACTAGTCGCACATTATATAATAATTATATACTACCTCCGTCCCAACTATATCTTTTTATTGGAAATTATTTATAATATAAAAATTATATGAAAATGTTCTTTGTTAAAAGTATTTCCATAAAAGTATAAAATATATAACATCCAAAAGATTATACTAATCAAAATCATGGTTCAAATTTTTTGGAAGGGCAAAGTTTTTTGGGATGGAGGTAGTATTATGTATAATATATTACTAATTAAATTGTACTACGTATATAACTTAGAATTGAAACCCACAATTAATAATTGAAAACAAGGTTTATTAATGGGATGCAAGAGTAAAAATGTCTGTCTAAAATAATATGTAATCATATAGTAGTATATAATAATTTTTATTATTAGTTTAATAGTTTATTATGTTATAACATATAATAAATTAATAATGTACAGAGCATATAAGTAGCTCAGCGTGTTTAATTGTTTATATAATATAAAAGTATATGTATACGCATGTATTGATACACACACATATATATAAATATACAACTTAAATACTTAATTAATTAAAATAAAATAAAACTAAATCCACTATACGAGAAGAGAATAAGAGATCGGTGGACCTAGGAATGTACTGGTCTCTAGTCGTCTGCTTCAGCGACGACTGAGGGAGGGCGAGCCAGTGAATTCTGCTTCATGGAGTTCTATGGTTCGTCTGCTTCAACTCTACGACTCTACTACTCGAGTAAGACGATGATGGCTTTATCTATTCTTATTTTCTTTTTTGGGCCTGGGCCTGCAGACGGTTACTGGGCAAAACTAGGCAGCAACATGTTGCCAAATTCACGTCTGGACGACGCCAAACTCGACTAATCTTCTTCCGGCAAAGCGAGGGTACCCGACGAGTACTCCCTAGCGCCAGGACGCCTAGTCGACGACTAGGCAACTCCTAGCGACTCCGTGACAAGTATGTCACTCACTATTTTTGGGCTTGGGAATGTCATGGAATAAAGCATAATGGCTCACTAAATTTCTACGCTTCTTTTTTATGAAGCAACACTCAGTCCATTTTCGACGCGATTCTCATCATGGGTCATCCACTCATCCGGAAACAATCTTTGTGCTTTAGTACAGGGTAAGGTTGCGTACATCCGACCCCCCTTACCCCACTGTAGGCTATGCCTTTGACGCATTGGGGCGATGACGCGATGTTTTTGTTGTTGTTGTAACCCATGCCTAACTTCACCATTAATGTTTGATAGTATTTCGTATTTCATTATAGAACTAATGTGAGGTATTCCAAACATATTATGGGGGGGCTTGGCAGACCGGGTAAGGTGTTGTTGTGAAACTGATAGGCCACGGGTTCAAGTCTTGGGAGCGACCTCTTGTCAAATTGACAAGGCTTACCCCCTATACACCCTTGGTGGGAGCCTTCCCCAAACCCTCGCCTTGTGGGAACGTCAATGTGAAGTGTACACTGAGCAGCCCTTGATTCCAGTTATATTATAGCAAATTACTAACTTTGTCTTGTATTTAGAGAAAATTGGACAACTGTGTCACACTTATGCTCAAACAACAAATCGTTTTAGTAAAGAAGAAGTACATCACCGGGAACAGAAGATCTACGGACAGCAGGCACTATAGTAGAACCAAGAATATATGACAGTATCAGACATGAGTTGCCACGTTAGTGTTTACATGTGAGTTATTATCTTATAAGACTGAGTTCATTCATTAACTGCTATAAATACACCCAGATGTATCAATTACACCGACTATTGCCATACACTGTTAAGAATTAAGATGTTGGGTGCATGCTGCTAACAAGTCACATAATTTATTGTGAAGTTCTTTTTGCACAGGACTTGTGGAATTCTGAACTTACATATTCAGATTTAGATTTACCTGCTCCGTTCATGTATGTTACATGACATTCATCTTGATTTTGCCATATAAATTTTGCAATGGGACGTGACTATAACAACTACCTTAACAAATTGTCATTCAATGGTAACGGGATTCAATTATAAACTCTGGTCATCACTGACACGGTGACACCCAGCATAAAACACTCACACTATGCTATTCCATGAATTGGTATTCTTGACTATTTTTAGGTGATTAATCACCAATACGGAACACATAAAATGGCCCCAAGAGAGTTGGTAATTGGTATAGAGGTGATGATGAGTCAAATTCCGCCTATTTCATCTCTCCAAATAACAGAAATTAGTCTTCCTATTCTATTATGTTAGAACGTGCAATTGATTCAATATAATTTACGACCTCCCCCTCTTTTGTTGTTTTTTGTTTCACAAAATTATTGGAAATACCTTGATAACATTTATTTATTAATTAACTCAAAAACAGAGAAAAGGAACTTACAAATTCAACAAATGCTTGGTTGCGGTTGGAGCCAACGTTGAGCTTAGTATTGACGATCTTGCCGAAGGGTTTGCACAGCTCGATTAGCTCTTCTTCGACGCACTCCCATGGGAGGTTCCGCAGGTGAAGAACCTTAGATGGTGTCTGCGTGTACCGAAATTGCGGCTGCCCCGATGTTGACATCGATCCGTTACAGATTCGAATCGGCTAAGAGGTCGTTTTTTCTCAGGCGCAGGATAACTCAGCGCTGCCGCCGAATATTTTTTATCAAATTCCGGGGTAATAGGTTTTGATTTGGTGGCTCTTTGAAAACCAAGGGTTTTTCTGGTTTTCCCCGCGACTGCAATAGTGCAATATATCCTCTTAGGCTAAATCAAAATCTCACGGACAAGTTAATACTCTCCTTCCCGATTGAGTTTTCAGGGCAATCAATTTTGATTCAAACTTTTTGATTCCAAATTATTTAGAATCTGAAAATTATATCAAAATGTTCTTTATTCAAAATATTTTTATAAAAGTATAAAATTTAATATATATATATATATATATATATAATAGAGATCAAATACAAACTAGTCTTACCTTACTAACCTACAAACTAATCTCAACCATACGTTTAATCAAGATTACCGTTCGTTTCTATGTCAATGGCTCACAACCAACTAATTAACATTGAGGGCGGTTTTGTCAATTACTCCACTTTTATAATGGAACAAAAATCAAGTTCGTTAATTTCCTTTCTCATAACCGCCTACTTTCCTTTATTCTTTCATTCCATCTTTCCCATCGATCATGGATTCCATCTCTGCGCTTGTCTTCTTCATCGATATTGCGACTTGTTGCAGTTAATTCGATGTATGATCATTATCATCGAGCGCCATGGAATCAGGTATTTGTATATCTTTCATGAAATCTGTTTTATACACACACAATAATTTCAGAGGTTGATCGTGTGTTTTTGTAAGTTTGTTCTGGTCTGCAATTTTTATTTTTTTGATTTGTATTAGAGGTTGATGTTATTATGTATCTTCTCACAACCGAATTTCATAATTAAATGTTCCTAATGTTACCTTCGTTCAATTCGTAGGTATGTTTTCTTTGTGTAGTATATTGTATATGAATTATGAACGATTTCAAACTGCAGCTTCAATAATGTAAACAGATTAAATACTTAATTTAATGTTTGTTGAAATATCTCTTTGTGTTAGAGGTTTGTCTTCTGCAGGTTAAAATATGTATTATGCATTTGTTTGTGTTGTATGGTGCATTTAGTGAATTATTGTTTTTATTGTTGTTTACTATTAGTTTTTGTTCATGTCTAATATTAGAGATCGTTTGTTGTTTATATAGATCAAAGTTGTGGTTTTGAAATTTCTCCTGGGGGTTCAAAGTATTGGATCCCTGAATGTTCACCTGAAAAGAAACCTCTTGTTGGGATGATATTTGTGAATCTAGATGCTGCCTTTAAGTTTTACAAAGACTATGCAGCTGAGTTGGGGTTTACTATACGTCATCATACATCAAAGAAGGCGAGAGATGGGCATATTTTGATGAAGTATATTGTATGTAGTAGAGCTGGTTTTAAGAATAATGCTTGTCCTCCTGTTTCGGATACCAATGTTGCTGGTTCTGAAGGTTGCCCAACAAATAGGAAAAGAGTGTCTAATAGGACGGATACCAATGTTGCTGGTTCTGAAGGTTGCCCATCAAATAGGAAAAGAGTATCTAATAGGATTGGATGTAAAGCCATGTTAACTCTGAAATATTCTGGATTTAAAGGGTACTCAGTTTTTGCATTTGAACAACGCCACAATCATTCGATGTGCTCTGAATTATCCAAACAATTTCTAAAGGTGAACAGAAATTTAGACCTTGGACATCAGAAGTTTGTTTTAAATTGTTTTAGAGCAAATATTGGCACAATGAAGTCATATCGGCTATATAAGGAGATTGTTGGGGGATATTCTAATATTGGTGCTACATCTGTGGATTTCAAGAATTTCAAGCGTGATCTTATGGCTTATATAGCTGGTGTTGATGCCCAAATTGTCATTGACAAATTATTCAGGAAGCAAGAGGTGTCTTCTGCTTTCTTTTTTGACTATGATGTGAATGATAGTGACCAGTTAACAAGGTTGTTTTGGGCTGATCCTATTTGCCGCAAGAATTATGCATTGTTTGGTGATGTTGTTTCATTTGATGCTACCTATGGAACGAATAGGTTTGTTTCTGTTATATTCTGTTTTTTGGGAATTCGACTTTATATATTCTGTGTTTTTGTTGCACTACACAGCATAATAACTTGCATATTTCTTTGTTAGCTTATGCACCAAAGAGTTTATTGTTGCTTAACATAGTTTCCTTCTTATATGTTCAGGTACAATATGGTGTTTGGACCTTTTACGGAAGTTGATAATCACAGAAAGTGTGTCACTTTTGGAGCTGGATTATTATTGAAGGAGGATGTGGAGTCATACGTTTGGCTTTTTACTTGTTTTATAAATGTTATGGGACGTCAACCAACATGCATTATTACTTATCAAGATCCAGCGATGCGTATTGCCATTGAGAAGGTATTTACATCATCCAAACACCGCTATTGTATGTGGCATATTATGTCCAAAGTCACTCAAAAGGTTGGCCCAGTTTTAAGCAAAAATGAAACATTTATGTCTTCATTGAATTCAATAGTTTGGAGTCATTACCTTGAACCATCTCAATTTGAAGAAAAGTGGATCTCTCTCATGAACGAATACGAATTGACAAAACATGATTGGTTTGTCCATATGTTTGAGTTGCGCTATTGGTGGATACCTTCTTATTTTAGAGATCTATTTATGGCTGGATTACTTCGTACAACATCACGGTCTGAAAGTGAGAATTCCTTTTTCCGTGAATTTACTAACCCACATTTCAGTTTAATAGAATTTTTAATGCAATTTGAGAGTGCAATGGATGCACAAAGGCATGCACAAGATAAATTGAATTCAGGGTCAGAGTCCTACCTTCCAGTTTTGAAGACTCCTTTATCCATGGAGAAGGCTGCGTCTGATGTATTCACACTCGCTGTCTTTTATGATATTCAGTCGGAATTGTGTTCAGCGTGCTTTTCATGTCGTGTTTTGCATGTGCATGGTGTTGATGGTGATTTTGAGTATGAAATTTCCGATGATCGTAATTTGGTGTTTAGAGTTGACTTGAGCATGCCAAATATGAAGGCAGTGTGCAGTTGTAAGTATTATGAGCGGATTGGCATGGTTTGTAGACACATATTTTTTGTTCTAAAGGACTTGAAATTGGAACGCATTCTGAACCATTTGGTTAATAGCAGATGGTGCAAGAAGGGTCTAGTGAAGCCACTCACTGAAATTTCGGATTCCGTATTAGAACAGACTTCATTGTTGGAGGACAATAAGATGTCTGTTAACACTCTTTGGTCTGACATATATGCTTGTATGGCCCTTGTTGAAAATAATCCCGATTATTTGAAGCAATTTTCAGGTTTAATTAAACAGCAAAAGCAAATTCTACTTTCTCTACATGAAGGTGTTGGTCAGTGTTCAACAAAGAATTCATTAATTGAATCATTTTATGGTTCTGGTGTGCCATCTGAAGTCACTGTTCATCCCCCGCAGCAGGCGAAAAATAAGGGTTCTGGACGTAGGCTTAGGTCTTCCAAGGAAGTTTCAATGGAAGAATCACAACGCCCCAAAAGACTTTGTAGATCATGCAATGAGATGGGGCATCACGATAGTAGAAATTGTCCTTTAAATTAATAGGCTTGCTTGAAGTTAAAGTATATGTTTGCAATTTTTGTTGTTTGACATTACAATGACGACTGTCTGTTGGAAATTAATATAGTTTTATGTTATTGGTTTTGTAGTGTATGTTTTCAAAGTTTTGTTATTATCATTGGGTTTATTAGTGCACGTTTACCATTTGCATTAATGCTCATTTATGCATCATTTTATCCCATGTAATGCATATTTCAGTCTTCAATATCACCTTATAGACCATATAATCTTTAATATAATCATATTCATCACAAAGTTGGATTTTTATAAGAAACATTTTTATAAATTCATGTTAACACTATTAACACACTAGACTGCGCTTATATTTTATATATTCCAAAAAATGAACGGTGCATATTATAACTCATCGGAGTGCATCTTACAGGTAATGAAGTTGCATGTAAGGATGCATAGTCCTGCTATACTATATACACAAGAAATGCAAAATGATGCATACTATAGCTCATTGCAATGCATTAAACAAGGTATAAATATGCATATTAACTGAAAATAAAACTTCATTCCACGTAAAATTAGTGTTTGGATGTCACATTCCCACACAAAACATTCAATATTGATACGATGTATCCTAACATATGTTTCCGTACTAATCTCATGTAAGAACTTCAACACGTGTCCACCCACACAAAAACAAACGACACAATGAATTTTTCAGATCAAACTTAACAAAAACCAAATGTTTGAGATAACAAATCCCCTCTATGCTGCATTCAACCTTTCTGCTTTAGTTATCTTTGCAAATTGTTTGGCATTCATCATGATTTCTTGCATAAGGTCATTGCTTTCGTGTAGTAAAATGGCTGCAACATACTTTCTTCTTAATGCACCAAGATCTTTGCTATCCTGTCTGTTCAATCCTATACTCCAACCCAGCAACCCTTCTCCACGATAAGTCTCCATATGTCGCATTGCCAAGACCCCATAGTCATACACATCTTTGGGATCTCTCCAAGACATGGGTAGTCGCTTACCCTTCAATTTGCGCACTGTATTTGCTTTTTGTAACATTTTCTTTGACTCCAAGTATTTCACAAACATACCAATCTGGAACACAGTTAGAATAGCTTTTATTATATGAATCTCACTCAGTTGTAAGAATACAGACATTATTAATATATATATATATATTACATATATAACTAAAATCAAGTTTTATTACCACTTTTTCTGACATGTCTCCATACTTGTTTGCGTTTGATACCCCGGCTGATGAGCTATCGAGAATATCCACACGTTTTAGCTTGGTATTCACACATATGATGTATGCATGATGATATTGCATTATTGAAAAAAAAAACTGCACCACATTTTCGTGTTAGAACTTTTACATATATAACACCATATATTCAATTCTTTATGACCCTTACATATATTGACCCTTACCAGATCAATATGTGCTACTGCAGTATGTTGTTGGACCAATGCCCATCCAAAGTCAAGTGCTGCTTGAAACAGTGTGTATGCATCCTTAGCATTTAAACCAAGATCAACCTGGGTGTCTAGTTGCACACCAATTCAATTGCATTAGTAACAAATATAACAATTATTTTGTGTATATAATTTAACTGGACACAAAACTGTCTCTTTTCTTAATTTGCACTCACACAAGGGTATGGCTTTGCAAATAATCGGGCAGGAGAATCACTGCTTCTATCTTTTTCAATCACATTGAGAATGAAAGACCATGCATTTAGTACAGCAGCTGAAATATGGCACTTTTCTTTTAAGCTCACCATCTCATCACGTGTAACTTGCAACCAGAATGCCTTTTTGAACACAATCTCATTCCTGTTAACATACAATACAATTAGTTGTACCATGCAATCAAAAAAAGGATGTTGTAATTTCAATTTCTTTTCAAACCAACTTCATTGTGTCTTACACAAAATAACATGACCAATAACATCCATCATAACTACAATCACTTACCTATCAACCTTCTTGTTTATAAATAACCATGCAACTGCAGCACGTTCATTAGCATTGAGACCTTCAAGAGGATCGATAAGCCTTTTTAAGTAGGGTGACTTCAATGTTGCAGCTGCTCTTTGAATTCTCTTTTCTTCTTGCACCTTTGCTATTGCATCTGATGCCTGTACATACTGCGATTTTCATCAAATTATATTGACACAATTTTAATGTAAGATGACCATACCGCATTTTCAATATGTTGCTCATAATAATTCTACCTCTTCTTCATGCAAGTTGTCTGCATTATTATACACCTCGACTGCATCTTTACTCATCTCTTGCTGCACATAAAACATCACTTCAGTGTTTTTCACAATAAATTAACTATTAATTAATTTATAAAAGAAAACTTTATTTCTTCTATTATTACCTCTCTTTCTTTCTCAAATGGATGAATCTCCATATCTGCTTCATGCAAATTGTCTGCATTATTATCTACCTCCGCTGCATCTTTACTCATCTCTTGCTGCACATAAAACATCACTTCAGTATTTTTCACAATAATTTAACTAATAATTAAATTATATAAAAAAACTTTATCACACTCTCTATTATTACCTCTATTTCTTTCTCAAATGGATGAAACTCCAATACAGCAGCCTCTCTTGTATTCTCTTCCGCAACCGTGTTAACACCGCTGCCCGTAGCTTCATATCCATTTTCTTGAGTCAGTCCTAGACTGAAGCTGGGCTTGTCATCCATCTTCTTTATGTATTGCGATCTTCTCACAAAGGCAGACTCCATCTGCACCAAAGCTTGGATGTTTCTTGGACTTGACCAAAACTTTTCAACCTCTTCATCATAAAATTGCTGCTCCGGTGTTGCTGCATTTGTTTCAGCATTTTGTGCTTGCTTTTGGGCTACCCCAAGTAGCTTATTAGTAGCCTCCACAATTTTCTTGAAGTTCTCATTTCCTTGCAGCACTTGTGGAGCTTCTTCTACCATATTCATTATTTCAATTGTTGTCGTAGCTAACAACTTTGTTTTCACAGCAAATCTTTCCAGAAACTCCTGCATTATAAGACATATTAGATTCATTTTTAAAAAATGCCATCTATGAATTATTAGTTTACCTCTTGTGTGTTTTCCCTTCTTGATGTTTCACCGTTCTGTGCACCTTCCACTTCTAATTGGTGCACCTTATTTTGATCAGCACACATTTCTTCTACTGTCAATCCCCTCTTCTGCATCTACTCATCCAAATATCCGAGACCAAAACCGCCTGCTTTTATTTCTTCTATTTCTCTCTCCCTGAGTAATTGTGATGTCCATCCAATTATAGCAGGCCAGTTCCTTACTACTTTCCTTCGATACAATAATACCATCCTATCAACATAAAGAACCTGCAAATAAATATGAATAACAACCATGTTAGATGTCATATGCAATTACTACTTCTCACTCCCAACATTATATAGCACAAACTTACCACTAAGAACAACAATGGACCAGTGAAAGCTTTGTCTTTACCTTCTTCCCATTCCAATTTCTTATTCACTAGAGCGGTTATGACATATTCACACCAGTTCATATTTTTAATTGCTTTTGTGTCTTGCAAGCAATTTATGTACTGATAGTTTATATACCCGCTCTTTGTGTTCTCAATCAATGAAGATATCAATAAGATGACAAAATGTCTCACAAACCATTCACCACCATTCGTGCAGCTTATCATTGCTTTGGCCACTTCGGTTGGAGTAATTTTTTCCTTTGCACCAAATAAAGCCCTCCACTCATCTGCCAGAGCACTTTTCTCTTTTTTCAGTTTCTTCACTACAGTTTCTTCTCCTCGAGCGAATCCTATTGCATTCTCAACATCCTCGTCTGTCACATGAAGTTTGTCACCATTCAGCTTTAGTGTGCAACTCCTTGGGTCAAAGTTATCTACAATCCAATATCCAAGTCTTAAAGGCAAATCTTGGATATGTAGCTGCAACATTGCTCCAAAACCTATATTAATGACCTCTTCTCTTTGCTTGTCATTAAACTTTGATATTGCATTGACAATCACATTTGGTGATGATCTGTTGTACAAACTTGTATATTCTTCCTTGATCTCCTTATAATCACCTTTCTTGTGTTGCTTCTTTCTTTGATGTTTAACTGCACCACCTACATTTTTTACAGACTTAGGAGGACTTTCAAAAGCTTCGTCACTGTCACTCATAGTATTTTTTGTCTTCAGCTGTTCATCATCATTTTGTGATTTTTCTGCATGATCATCACTTTTTGACTGCATCATGCTCCTAGTCCTCCTCCTCATGGCCAGTGATAGTCTTTCACTATCTTTCACACCTACATGGTTACCATTACACATTTATATTAGTACATAACAATCTGAATTTATGATATTAAAATTCACAAAGTTAAACTTGAATTTGCTAACTTGCCTTTGCCTCTCACTTCTTTTCTTTGTGCATCATCATGCTGCATATTCATCATAGGAGCGTCTCTTCCTAATTAATGTAATAGAACAATTAAAATTATACTTACAGAATTACAAATGAATCTTATACGTAAAAAGTTAGTTTTTTAACCTTTGCTCTTTTTCGTCTTCCCTTTACCAATTTTGTTTTGTTGCAAGTTGCTTGTGGATGCGCCTTCTTGCTTTCTTTTTTTTCCTAACACTTGATGCTCGTTTTGATTTTCTATTACATGTACATGAAACTTTGGAGCTAGTCACATACGAAAACCAGAATTTAACTGCTTCAAAATGTAAGCAATACTACATGGCTCACAACCACAATTCATAATCTAACTATTATGAAAACTGTAATAACTTGCTTGGTTAAATGCATCAAAATATGCATTTATATCACTCACAAGCACAAGTCATATTCATAAAAAAAACTGCAT